TAGGGTCTGGGGAAGCGATATAAGCTTTCCCAGCAGAGTCCATACTAAACATTTTTCTTCTTTTTTTTTCTAAGCTTCAGAATGTCTTTTTCCTGGCGTCTTTGATGCCTTTTTTCTCTTAAAAGGCCACATGAGGTTAAAGAAGCTAAAAGGATGGTGAGGATCACTATTGAAGTGTTTTCTCTGCACCAGTGCACTCACTACTCATTTCTAGTAAAAAAAAAAAAAGTTGCAGGTCTAATTAAGTGTAATATAGAAGGACGCAGCACTGGCCAATATTATTGTGAGGGACATTCAAGGTAATATAGTGCATGTGCGTCTATAATAAGTGTCAATGTTGTAAGATCATTTTCATGTTAAGTAAGAAAATTTGCTGCTGCTAACTTTTTATCTTTGTCAAACAAAAAGTCATCCACAAAATAATGTACAATAGTCAGGAGAATTTCTGTTGATTAAGTTTTTTATAAATGTCTTCTTCAAAAAGCTTTTAGTCAATTTTGTTGCAGAAGCAAAAATGGCATAAATTTGTAAGGTCTTGACTAAAAGATAAACCAATTTTTTTTTTTTAGAATATTTGAATTATATTTTATTTTAATGGTCTTTTGCTTATATATATGAATTATCCAACTTCACCTCCCTCCCCCTCTAGGCGATTCCTCCCTCCCGTCAAGGTGATACACCCTATGCTGCCATACACACATCTCCAAAATTGAAAATGATGCCATAGTATAGTCAGTACCAACCCAATACCTACACTTTAAAAAATTTGCCACATGATAAATATATTATCAGACCTTGCTCCTCACCTTCCCAAAGGACATCCCCCACAGTTTGAGGAACTCTGGCATACACAGAATAATACACCAAAATAAAAAATGATACCTTGTATAGTATTTACTGGATTCAGATGCTAATTGCTTGATGTATTACTTAATAGCATTTTTGGTGTCAAAATAAATAAGATTTCATAAATTTTATGTAGCTTTTTAAATATGCATTTAAAAAAAATCTTACAGTTCCTCAATATATCTTCCATATAATTTAGATCCAAATTATCTCGTGTAAAAAACAAGCTGAAGAAAATATTTATGCACCACTGTAAAGGAGACTACCTCTCAAATGAAGCACTGGTATAGGTCATGTCTATTAGGTCAAATTCAATTTCAACATCAACTAACCATGGTATGTCTTATAAATGAATATGACATAACATCATACATGTATAAAAAAGTATAATTCAGAATGACTTGACTTGATTTCACTAATGACACTTAGCCAACTTTACAAAACTGATTTTTTCTTTTTTTTAAGTACATTTTTTTTTATCTTCAAAACGTAATTTATAGATATCTATATAGATCTATAACTACAGTGAGATTTAAGTTTGGTGCTGTTGGAAATCTTTTTTCAACTCTTTTTTTAACAATGTCAACAGTGTAATTTGTGTAAATCTTCTATCTTATCTAGTTTATTAAATTCTATTTCAAAATTACTAGATCTATTTCTAATTCTAGACTAGATACTACTAATACTCTAATTCTACTTCTAATTCTAGATCTAGGTCCTAGGCTAGGCGACCTAGGCAAGGTTTTAATCTAGTTTTATTCGTCACATATAGTGATATAGAATTTGATAGATCTAAAATATTAATATTTGTCATAGTAAAATGTATCATCTAAATCATAAAAAGAATAGTTTAATGATAAGAAATAAACAATCAGATCTAATAAAAATATACACATTATACTATACTCTATAGATTATAAAATTCTCTCACCCAGAACAAAACATTAAATCCGAACATCAAATATTTGATGCAGCAACTGACTTCTGTTCGGTCCCTTCTGGATCTGTAGCCGTAACGTCTTTTGCTAGGCATGACGTTGAAATTACCACAGCCCAAAGGGCTTACATTTAAAGACGATTAGCTGTACATTTTGAATAAATATGTATTGATTTTAAAAGATAAAAATCTATAATTAAATTTTCAATTCATGAAATTGACAACAAAGACCCTTGATGACTCCCTTTTTGTAATAATCAGCTGTTGAGAGTTGTGGTTCTTTACATTTTTTTATTTTCTACTCAAACGTTACCGTGCTTAGTTATTTGAAATATGTTATTATCACTTTAATTCTTATTTGATTCGTACACATAATGAAATCTTTATATTGACCATTTCAAATCAATAATCAGGGACAAATTTACACATGGCAAAACAAGCTATACCTTAGGGCCCCCAAGAAATATTTAACAGTAACACTAACATATAATACTTGGAATTAAAATAGCGCCATATATCAAATAACTTAGTGCTTTTTCAAATATAAATCCAGCAGAGACAATATTTTTTTAACTTTAAATTAGAACCTATTGGCCTACTACTGTTAAACTAAATGTTTGTTCGGTAAAACTTTAATAGCATTTTCAAGACTACATTTTTATTCCGATAAGAAAATTATTTTATATCTTGTAGAATGTTTAACCATTATTAAATCTTATCTTATATATTACAGACATTACTTCAAAAAAGATAATTACGTCCTACACGTCATGCATTCAGTCATGCATATTAACCATTGACTTAAATTCTGCCAAGTCACTGGTTTTCCTGGCTAGCTCAGGCAACCCATTCCATGCTCTAATAGCACTAGGGAAGAAGGATCATTTGTACAAATTTGTCCTAGCATAACTAAACCAACTTTTTGTTTTTCTTTTTACAAAGTTTATATCAACTCACTCTGTCTGGTAAAATGTTTGTACACATTATTTCTCCCACACCCACTCTCGGATCAAGTTGAAATTTTGCAAAATTATTTCTTCTACTTGACAAAACAAAAATCATTTTAAAAACGTACGAATTAGTCAATCAACTATTGGTTATTATATACTATTCACGTATCTTGGCAGCACACTCTCCAGAAACGGAAAAATCGATAGTGAAATTGACCTGCGCATCGCCAAGGCCAGTGCATCCTATGGCAGACTCTCTAAAAACGTCTGGAACAGACGTGGTATCACCACAAATACAAAGCTAGGGGTCTATAGAGCCGTCATCCTTCCTACATTGCTCTATGCTTTAAAAACGTGAACAGTGTACAGAAAACACGCAAAGAAACTGAACCACTTCCACGTGACATGTCTGAGAAAAATACTGAATGTTAAATGGCAAGACAAAATACTAGATACTGAAGTCCTTCGAAGAGCGTGTCTGCAAACCCTCCACACAATCCTGATGCAGTCCCAGCTGCGATGGGCAGGACACGTCTGCTGAATGGAAGACCACCGCATCCCTAAACGACTCTTGTATGGCCAACTAAGCGAAGGAAAACGCTCGCAAGGTGGTCAAAGAAAGCGCTTTAAGAACACCCTCAAAGCTTCTCTGAATGCGTTCAGCATAGACCCAGGCACCTGGGAGATATAGGCACATGACAGAGCATCATGGCGTCGCGCTGTGAAAACTGGCGCACAGGTTGCTGAGGAAAAGAGAACAACGCTGGCAGAAGAAAAACGCCAGAGAAGAAAAGCAAGGCAAACGACACTAGCTCCAGCTGGATAAACCTGCCAAGTGTGCGGCCGAACATTCCGGGCTCACATAGGTCTCACCAGCCACATGAGGAGGCATAAAACCCCAGTGCAAACCCCTCAGCCCCCTGGATGACAAAGTGGTCATCATTGAACCTCGATGGACGAACTATATTACATACTATTGGTTATTATTACTTATTTCGTTTGGTATCTAACAAAGGAAAGAAATTGTATTTGAAATGTAGTGGCACAAGTTGAATTGGTCCTCTTTATACTTGGTGTAGAGAATTTTGTTGTGGCTTTAAGTTTTAAAGCAATAGATAACTATAAAACATTCTATTTTCTTAACGACTAAGATTGACTCTTACATTTGACAGATTTGTATGAGGGTCTTTCTGAGATACCACTTTGAAACAGACCCATTAAAGATTAATATGAGTCCATCTAAGTGTAGTGATTTTGTTTTCCAAGGTATTGTATTTGAAACTTAACTATGCATATTTATCAGATAGAATTTTTTCCCATTATGCAAAAAATCTTTACATTTAAACCTCTAGCAAACAGAAAAAAAAAAAATTCAAGCATAAAAGTTTATTTCCAAGAAGTTTTGACATTCCATTTATAATTTTCATTCACTTTTGGAATATTGTTTTGAGTTCCAAGTTTAATTACTTCTGTCTCATCTCCATTCATCTGGAGTTTATTCTCCAGATGCTCACCCTTGCAATGGTTCCCCTAGTTTTGGTTGCCAGATGAACTGAAGAATCATACAACCATGAGTCATTGGCAAAGAAGTGTTACAACACACAAGTTGATTGTATGACACTACTGAGTGGCTATGTATACATAGTGAAGAGTAATAAGCTTAGCACAGATCCTTGGTGATATTCTGTACTAGACTTTAACTACAACACTTTGGGCACATTCAGACACTTTAGGATGATTCCTGAAAAACCATAAGTGACCATCATAATCTTATGGCCAAAAGCTGAGACAAGTCCAACATGGAAACAATTGATATGTGGCTTAAGTCGGATTAAATACCTTAAAGGTCCATATTGTTGTACTTGTCTGCCTTGCATTAACAGCATTGAAAAAGTGAATACCTATTGAAGAGGGAGTTTGTCAAAATATTTGTCATCTTGCTGCTGTCTACAGTGAGTTTGTACAATTATACAGAAGAAAGGGAGGAAAAAACTCAATAAATGTAATTGTGAAAAAGTTGGACATTTTTACACTTTAGGCCAAGATCTGCAGGATGGAAGCCTTGTAAACACTATTTGCATTCAGACAATAAAAGAGACACTTAATTTACTATCACTTTTGTGCAGCTCAATTGATAGAGCTTCTAAGTAATGAATTGTAAGAGTATGCAATACAATAGTTTTTGGGATTAAAAAAAAAGTCAATTCTAACTTTAGATCCACTTCATTTAATTTACATTAGTAAAATAAAATATAAAAGAAAAGTAGTTAGAACTAATAATCTTTAATGAATGAAAATAAGAAAAAGTCACATATGAGGTGATTACAATCATTCATTACATTGTAACTACTATTTACATTAACATTTACAATAGTCATTCATCATAAACATTATATATCTCACAAAGCAAATGCAGTTGTAGAAACAACAAAAACTGATTCACAGGGTCACCTAACATCTCTTACGTAAAAGGCACACATTGTTAGTAGACAATAATGAAAAATACAGTGATAATGGATTGCTTAATTTAAAAGGTTTTATAAATATGAAAATCTCTGCTATAAATGATAATAGACATAAATCATAAATATTATTTTTATATTACAATTTAGTTAGGACAATATAGTCTTAAAATCAGTAGTAACTTTATTATACCTGTAACTTAATTTAGTAATTGCAATAAAAATAATTAAATCGAAATCTTCATTTTTAAATAAGTCTATTATACTCATATAATCATGAGATAAATCAAAATGTAAAATGTAATTTTAAAAAAAACCTTAGATATGAATAAAAGTTGAAAAATATTTTTTTTTTTTTGTATTGGCTGCTGTTAATTGCTACATTTATTATTCTGTAGGTGAATTCTAATAGAAATGTAAGTGGAATTTCTTTTTGCTGAATTTCATCTTTCATCCAGTTATGTCTCACCTTTTCAGAACCTAAAGAAAATTTTGTAAATTTAAAGTTACATTAAGAATTTGTATCTATTAGCTGCCAAAAATATTTCTATTTAAAAAACAAACAAACAAACTCTTTCTTTTTATATAAAGCATTAAGCTTAATATATCACTCTATTAGCTGAACTTTATTGACTTAAACGGGGTATTAGTTTTGAAACATTTTAAATGAATGCCCAAAACATTTTTTTTTGAGGCAACAATTAATAAGTGAGGACAAGGTGTTTAGGGTATTCTAATTTCATTTGAAGCAAAATTTTGTATTAAAAAATAATTTATACATTTCAAGATACTTTTTTTTCCAATTTTACAAATGTTCTCATTCATCTATTAATTTCCTTTCTTAAAGATATAAGCTAAGTTGTTTTTTGTTTAAAAGTAAAACAACAACATTAAACTAATCACAACCTCCAACCTGTCAAATGTATGATATAGATCAATCTAAATTTGACAAGACTATAATCTAAAAATCTGGACTTCATTTAAATGCACAAGCTAATAGCAAAAAATCTTTAGGTGCCAAAGCAGAATATAAATAAATGTGGTTTAAAAAAAAAAAAAAACACAGATTAATTTGTCAAAAATGACAAATGATTGCAATAATAGATCATATCTTGTCTATAAAATCAGCGTGACAAGAATGGACAAGACTTTCTGGAAAAACAAAAAAACTACCAGCATAGCACTTGCTATTTACCCATACAAACATTTTTGAAAGATTCATTCTATCCAACTTGTTGTCTATCAGCTTCAATTCAATTCTATTTGGATGACTAGTGACAATTTTATGTGAAAAAAAATTTAGTAAAATATGTACAATAATGTCAAATAAATACAATTGAAAAATCAGTAAACTTTGAGACATGAAGCACAACTCTCAAATAAAATAATAGTAAATCAATTATACAATTTAAACTGCAACTATTATACTAAATTTCTTTCTTTCGATGGGGGAAAACACATTTTCATCCAATGTAGTATATTCTATCAGCACATATGTAGCATTGCTTTTGTAATGTAAAAAGAAAAATAATAAAATGACAAACACTATTACTACATCTATATTAAATAAAAAGCCAATGATTTAAATGAATATTCAATATTTTTATCTTCTTAATTTCAAATTGAAATAATTTGCTCTACAGAATGTTCAATCACCAGATCTAACCATGATCATGTTCCAATATAATGTGAAATTTTATGATACATCAAATATAATGACTATGGCAAAACTGGCCTTCAAATAAGAATTTTGTGCAATTAAATTGAAGTTTACTGGAAACTCAAAAGATAAGTGTGTTTCTTTAAAGTTCATGCAGACAAAAGACAAAAAAAAATATTTAAAATATTATTTAATAACTCTTAGTGCCATAAAACATGAGAAAAAGAGGTTACATGGAATGCTTAACAAAAATAAGAAGTGTTTTATTTAATAGTTTTACAATGATAAAGTTATGTTGTAATGGTCCCCAAGCACTGGTCCTAATTAAAATCAAATGTACAATTAATCTATGACAAACATACAGAAACCCTTTTCCATTCAAAATAAATATCAAAACTTCATTACAAAACTTTATCAATAACATTGTTTAAACAACTAATTCACAGAATGAAAACTAATCTCAACAGATGATATTGTATTGTTAATAATACTTCTTTAAATGAATATAAGATGATATTTGAAATTAATGAAATAGGGTTATATACAATGTTTTGAAGTAGAAATAAAGGGTAAACTCATTTACTGTTTACATTTTGAGGATACAACACAAAATTGATAATATTTTCTTCCTGTGTACTTTAAGTGAGTAAAAATTAACATGTGATAAAAATAAGATGCAAAATAGCACCATAGTTTTATTTCATATATTACAGCCACAGTAATGTATAATCTTGGGTCAGGACATTAACGATATTTGTCAAATATCAGTCAGTGGTAAATGAATGTAAGATTGACATATGGAACAAGCAGATCTCTTACATTCAACATGCTTTCAGTTAGAAGTGAAGCTCTCAGCTCCCTAATGCTCACATCTTCATCTTGTGTTCAACAGATCACTAGAATGAGGAACTAGCAGGTTTGAGTGTTTTATCTTTTTATAAGACGGAAGGAATTAGACGACTTCTTGGACACCAGCAAGCCAGCCACTGTAAGAAGACAGTAAAATGTGTCTTTTTATGAAATGTGAATTAATCTGTGTAAATCCTATACTCTTAAACAAGCAATTTTTTTTATATATGTATGTATATATATTGATATATAAATTTTATTTCAAAAGCAGCTCTTATAACTTTCTTTAAATTTTCAATGTGTATATGTATCAGTGAGAAAATTCTCAGCTTATTGGGTACATCGTGAAAATTCAAGGCAGACCGTTATATTTGTTTCAAAGTGGTTTATTAAAGCAAAATTAATTTTGGCTGTAAATCAAGTATGAAGGAAATTTTACTGAATGACATCACAAAAATGTTTTCAAAATGAGCTTGGGAAAATATCATCTTTCAACTTTCCTAAAAAATCATTCAACTGAGTGATGCTCAGTCACCTCGTACTATTAAATTTAAAGATGTAATAATTATAACAAAGCCTTGATCCCTATGCTTGAAAGATCATAGGTAATTAATATCAGTGAATCAATGTTTAAAAAAAAATGTTTTTTAAAAGTGGGTATATTTGCAGTGTTAATTCATTAATATCAATCGTAATGCAGTTGGTATGGGAGTCTAGACTACTACTTTATATGTCCTATTCTAAATAATTATTCCAAAAAATACTGAAAAAAAAAAATTACATTTACTGTCCTGTGTTGTTAAAGGCATCTCCACAACTTTCTGAAGCTCCAGTAACCACTTGTGCATCTCCTCCTGGGTTTCCGCCCTCAAGACAAATTTCCTATCAGGTGTGTGTAATGTAAAACAATAGCTACTGTTCCCATTCTGACTGTTGGAGCCTCTGTCTCCTTCTTCCCCACCTGTAGTTATGCTGTAGCCACCATCCTTGTGACCAATAAAAACTTCACCTTTTGCAAAAGCATTCTATAAATAATGAAAACATAGGTTAAATATAACAGGCACACTCTTCTTTTTTTAGGATGCAGCTTTGGTATGAGAGTGGTATTATAGATAAATTTCATTTTGATGATAGAGTATGGATCTTTATAGTCCATAGTCTATATTATATCTTACCAGTGGCTCTTCAAAATACATCAACTTTCTACGGTCTAAAGTAAACCAACGTCTTCTGAATGGTTCATTTTTAGGTCCCATCTTACTAAGCCAACCTTCTGCTAGAAAATCTTTGGTCAAGTCTTCAGCAAGCTGGAATGAAACAAAAGCATTAGTAAGGAATAATGCCACTGTCATAAATGAGCAGTTGGTTGAATAGGGAATGAATCTTGAAGAAGTAACAAGAGAACAAAAATTGTGAAGGACATTCAATTCAATAATAAGTTACATAGTATTTACAATTACTTTTTTTTTTTTGTAAATTGGTTAGGCCTGTAAGTTTATCTTCACAATCTTAGCAAATAATTAAGTTATTAATTAAAAAAAAAAGTTAAAATTATAGCTTATTTTACAAAATAAAATATATTTTATGGTAGAAATACCTGTGTCAGATCTCTGTCAGGGAAGGCTATTCTTCTTCTCTCCCATTTGGCAGCTCTAATGCACATAAACCAATCAACTATATCCTAATAATATGCAATAAAATGATTAGGCTTTATTTCGAGATATAAATATGACAAATTAACTGCAGAATGCAAGAAGGTAATGAAATTTTAGATTATGCTTACTATAAGAAAGAAAGGTAATAGTTTACATGACCCGATACCTAGACTGGCTGACATATTGTTGATAAGCATATTGGTCTCCCTTGTCTATATTAAACTTTTAATAACTTTTATTTATAAGAGTTGTTTTTTTTATGTTGTCAACTAATGTTTTTTTTTTACATCTATATGTTAAAATGTAAGTCTACAGATGCAAATGTTTAAAATAATTAAATGTCCAGATCGAAACGCTGAAGGTAGGACCCTATATTGTTGGCTCCCATCTATAGGTATGCATGATAAATACACTCTGCTTGTCATAGTGTCTTCCCCTCCCCCACACCTATTTTGTACACAAAAGTCTGTTATATCGCTAACAAGAAACAGTCCCATCATGGCTAAAAAATGTCAACATTGTGTTTATTCCCTACAAGAATTTTAAAATCATGTTGTAATTTTATTACACAATTTTTGTTACATTATTAGTTATTGCTTTAATTACAAAAGCTTGCTTGCATGTTAAATGAATTTCACTATTAGAGATAAAGCTGTTAGATACAAAGACAAAACACAAGCAGAAAAATGTTGATAGTAATTTAAGTTCAAACAAGGTAGATAGACTTGTGTTGAGCTATAAATATTGCACATTTCCAATAACAATTTATGGTAATGATATTAAATTAAAAATATAAATTTTTTAAATACGATAATGATATTAAATAAAAAAAATGATTTTAAAATCACCATGTAAATTCCATCTATCGAGTCATGTAAACTAATACTGAAAGAAATTGAGCTCCTTACTTTTGAATTTTCTGAATAAACAAACAAGTTTCTGGTAGAGCCATTTTTGAAATATGTAATTTGCAGCCCATAGGGATTGCCTATCTTTTCTGGGACAAACACTGCATTTAAGAAGTCCAAGTCAGCTTCAGCTTTAGGCTGTTTTTGCTAAAAAAGTTTGATAAAACATAAGCATAGATTAAATACAATCAGGTTTCCCTAAAACAATTTATTAAGTAACATTGAACCAATAAGATTTCCTTATAAACAGATAAAGTAAAAAAAAAGTCACCTTGCCATTGTCTTCA